TACAAATGCAAAAAAAAAAAAAAAATCGGTGATAATCACCATCTCTGTGGACATCAGTCCTGCAAAAGAAGATACAAATGCAGAGTGAAAATCAAATCAAGAAATAGAGAGCATTAAAATGGAATGAGACTATTACAAAATTAACCCCCGAGGCTTAGTCTAATTGTAAGAGCATGAGCTTTCTAGTTGGAACTGATTACCTGATGCCAAACAGCAGAATTATATTTTTCCACTCAATATCCTCCAGTCCACCATTCCAAGTCACCAATAGTCTTTACACGAACAAAACCCGTTTTCAAAATGATGGAACCTGTATGCATCCCGTACAACAATAGCCCGATCAGAAACCCTCGATATGAACTTGATCCAATTATGACAGTCGTTACAAACACGCAGATTCTTCATAACGTGCAAGGGAATCACACCAGGCAGGCTCATGAGCCCGAAAGCAACTGCCAGTTTCTCACTGTGTACGAGCTCAGTCGGGTCCTTCTGCCCGAGCTCCGACTCACTCCACAAGCTCCCACGGTCCTGCACGTACCCGATCTCAGCTGCACGCTCGTTCATAACCTCCAAATACCCATAACCTCCGAATCATTCGAGCAAAAACCTTTAGAGCATCTTCACTGTTTCCACTCTGCCCAAGTCCAGATATGAACCCATTCCAAGAAATATTGTCTTTCGGATTTATTCTCTCAAATGCCGAGTCGGCCTCCCTCGTGCGGCCGCACCTAGCATATAGACAAGCGAGTGCGTTCCCTATCGAAACATCCGAAGAGTATCCCGACACAATAGACTGGCTATGAATCTGACGTCCCTGATCGAGCGCTTGAATTCCTGCACAAGCGCTTATGACGCTTGCCAATCCTATGTTATCCGAACGGATCTCTCGTGCTTGCATTTCTTCAAAAAGTTTTATTGCTTCATGGAACATGTCGTGCTGGGCATACCCGGAAATCATGGCCGTCCAAGAAACCACATCTTCCTCTTTAAGGCGCCTAAAAATTTTCAAGGCGGGTTCTAATTCTCCATGCTTTGCATACATGTCGATTAACACGCTACACACATACACATTTGGCTGGAATCCAGTTTTGATGACTTGGGTGTGGACTTGCTCACCCAAATCGAGGGCCCCGGCAGACGTGCACGTTCTCAGGATATTAGGGTAAGTGTGCTCGTTAGGCTGCAGACCAGCAATAAGCATGTTTGAATAAATCCGGACAGACTCTTGAAGTTCGCCCATTTGCCCATAGGCCACTAGCATCACATTCCATAGTACCACATTATTATTTTGAGTTTCAAGGAAAAATCTATTGGCTGCTTTTATGTCCGAGCATTTTACGTAAAGGTTTAGCAGAGATCCCTCAATGATGACATCCAAACACATCCCCTCCTTGACTGCGTAAGCATGCAGCTGAGTTCCCTTGCAAAGATCCCCCATTGATGCACAAATTCCAAATAGGCTCGCAACTGTAACACAATCGGGCTTTAAGGACTCGGTCTGCATTTTATCAAACAACTCAAGAGATTTCTCATTTGATCCATGAGTGGCAAAGCCCGAAATTAGAGTGTTGAACGTGACTTTATCCTTATGTGACATCCCATCGAATATCAGTTCAGCTGATGATAAATTCCCGGATCGAGAATAATGCGTGACCAGGGAGTTGCACACGAAAAGCTCAGATGAAAAGCCCCACTTTATGATTAGAGCATGAAATTGGCCCCCAAGTTCGAAAGAGTTTATCTTGGTGCAGGCACTTATGATGCTCGAAAAGACATAAGGAGTTGGGTATACACCCAACTTCCGCATCTCAGAGTAAAGAAGGATAGCCTCAACATGACGACCATTTTGGGACAGGCCCGATATTATTGCAACCCAGGTGACACTGTCCTTTGCGAGCATATTTTTAAAAGTCTGGATCGCAGAATCTATGTATTCATTCTTGAGGTAAAAATCAATGAGAGGATTACAAAAAGGCGGGCTCGTATTTAAACCAAAACGGATGACTTTAGCATGAATTTGTTTGACAAAATAAGATACATTGGTACCAGTGTAGGATCGCAAAGTATCAGCAACAGTGCCATCATGCAGAGGATTAGTGCAGTCACACGTTCGTGAAAATAGACTCAATAACTTATCGCGTCTCTTCTTCTCATACCTTAATCCCAAAGAATCATGAAATTCACAATTCAACTGTCTGATATCATGCAGCCAAACTTCTGAAGAGCCTTGGATATCCAAATGTGAGCTCACGCTCGGTTTTCTCACCAAACGATCATTTGCAATCCCTAAACTGTATGTTTGGGGAGATTTATGAAATTCTTTTAGCGGCCGACCAGAGTTGCTTTTCTCTATCAGGGAACAGGCTCCAGAAAAATTCGGGACATTTACGTCATCTGAAAATATATTTACACTTGCGGCATTGGTGCTATAATGGGCTAACTTGGAATTCGGAACTTCAGAAAATTGATGCCACTGCAAAACAACAATTTCAGCATATGTTTTAGTTTCACAACACAATGTCCAAATATATCATTAAAAGGTGAAAAAGATGCACAAAAACTAAGGGTATGTTTGCATACAAAAAATTTCAAAAAAAATTCAACATTTTAACTCAACCTCTTTTTTTAACTCAATTTACCTCAACCCCACTATCATCAATATTATCAATATAATTAAATAATATCAATCATTCATACACACCATATCAACCTTATTTCACTATTCACCCACTCACATTATTTGAACTAATCATCACTTCCAGTCATCTCTCTCCTACTTTTACATCAAATCATTATTTTTATTTTATTTTAAATATTATTTTAATATACAACTAATAACCATACCACCTTTTTTCAAAATTAACCAAACCAAACCAAAAAATCCAACAACATCAAAAAGTTTATATCCAAACATGCTCTAAATTATCATAACTTGCTATACCTGCAAATTCATGTAAGAATCCACTGATACGAGAAAGCCTGAAGAGAGAATCCCATAAAGAGATGGTTAAAAACCAAATTGATAATCAAATGCAGATTAGACAAAGAACAAACATTCGGAACTTCTAAGGATCACACAGACAAAAATACCTTTATTTTCCATTCCCCATTTGAGTTTCACCATTACTTGCTTCCCAATCAAATTGTTCAGAAAAGGCTTCGGGTTTACTGGAACAGACTATCAACACCAACAGTACAAATATAACTATCAGTACACATGAGATTAACCAATGTCAGAAAACTTTCATTATACCCCAATGATCTAAATCCATTATGCTCATAAAGGCTCAAATATTGTGGTATCTGGACATAAACGGCATTGCCAAAACAATGAGTTGCACTAAAAATAACATTTACCAATACCATCCCTCTTGATAGTGTTGAGGTTTCTTCTAGGTGGCGACGGCGGCTGAGTGAGAAATTGTTTTATATAACTAGTATAAAACTTTAGAATTGATCACACCTTTGGCTAGTTCATTCGATACGGGATTACATTTACCGACTCATACTGGGTAATTTGAATGAGGCAATTGATCAAGCAGTTGATAGGCAACCCACAATATAAGGTATCAGTATCTCAAAGTGAATTTTTTTTTCTAAGTGTTGAAAGCTTCTATTCCCTCTAAATGACAGATAAAATTAAAACAAGCAGGTGCTTTTATTACCTTGAGCAGCAGACAGCCGGCGATGTCTTTCTTTCAAGCGCGCGACCAAAATACTGTAGAGGGTTGGTTACTTCCGTTTTTCTCTCAATTTGCTACAAATCAAGAATCAAGGTACTGTCTTTATCCTACCCGGCTCGATTCCGGATTAGTCGGTTCCCCTGTGGATCCGGAAACCGAAAGGTCCCTGTACCAAAAAAAAAAGGTACTGTCTTTATTAATTTTTTTTTTTGACAAAATTGCATATTAATACACCAGATTTTATGTTTTTGCAATTTAATCACCACATTTAAAATTTTGCAAACTAATACACCACTTTTGCTATTTTTGCAAATCTATACATGAATGAGAATGACGGTTCCGTCAACAAAAATCTAACGAAAATCTGATTTACAAAAATATAGTAATTTTGCAAAAATAGTAAATGCGGTGTATTAATTTGCAAAAATAGTAAATGCGGTGTATCAAGAATCAAGGTACTGTCTTTATTAATTGTTTTTTTTTTGGCAAAATTGCATATTAATACACCAGATTTTATGTTTTTGCAATTTAATCACCACATTTGAAAATTTGTAAATTATATAAAACTTTTGCTATTTTTGCAAATTGATACATGAATGACGGTTCCGTCAATGAAAATCTGACATGGCATTCGTTAGATTTTTGTTCACGGACTTCACGTATCGATTTGCAAAACATAATACATGTGGTGTATTAATTTGCAAAATTTCATAGGTTGTGATTAAATTGCAAAAACTTGAAAGATGGTGTATTAATATGCAATTTTGTCATTGTTTTTTTTGAAAGGTATAATTTTGCCATGTCAGATTTTCGTTAGATTTTTGTTCACGAAACCGTCATCCATGTATCGATTTGCAAAAATAGTAAATGCGGTGCATTAATTTGCAAATTTTCATAGGACGTGATTAAATTGCAAAAACATGAAAAGATTGTGTATTAATATACAATTTTGCCATTGTTTTTTTGAAAGGTATAATTTTGCATTTTTTGTTCTTTTTTATTTATTTATTGTTTTTTATATTTATTAATGAAAAAGTTGAAATCACTCTCACACACACATCGGGTGGCACCAAGGCGTCAAAAGAGTCGTTCGCCGTACACTTCAATCCAAATTTCCCTCCAAAAAAAGTTAAATTTTCATTTTTGATGTCCTAAATCATGATTAAAGGATACTAATTTTGACCCGTTCATTTGTACGAAAATCTATATAGGAAAGGAAAAATAATAAAATTTATAAATTATAGTAAAAATCATAAAATAATCATCGAGAAAATAAGTTTTAAGAAAGAAAATTTAAATATTATTATACACTTATTTATATACAACGTTCGTGGTTTTCGTATCAGTAGAATCTCCATTACTACAAACCATTATATTCAAACTCCTTTGATTCGTAACTCTAGAAATAAGAATCTTAACACCAGCTCTGACACCGATTAAAATTCTACATTCGAGGATATGGCTGCTGAGCTTAGTAATTACCAATATTGACCACAAAATTCGAACAACAAAAACATAATCACAAATACAATCGTTTTATAAAAAAAGTAAGACAAAACACAGTTATTGATATAATTGTCGTTGGAAAAAAAAANNNNAAAAAAAAAAAAAAAAAAAAAATCATCAATACTTCGTATTTTTTTACAGATTTACGCTCGTAACATAACAGACAAGAAACAATAACAAAAACAGGCAAATATCATAATCAAGTGGCAATTTGCTTTAAGGTTCTTATTTATTGACTAGAGATTATTAGGAGTTCGGACCAAAAAATCCGATTTATTTTACAAAAAATATACACACACCAGGAAATTTATTTAAACCATAGAATAATAATCCACATAATTATAAATAATTTTCCTTTCATTTTTGTGTCTATCAACAGATGCTCTTCTTTAAAATTTCGTCGGCAATTGGGAAATCCGGCAATATATCCACCGGAACCTGGAATTATAAAATGACCAAATTTTATAGTCAGAAGAAGCTCATTTAATTGATGATCAATATTCATAAGTTTAATAAATGAACTTTAAAAATAATAATGTCCATGATAATTAGAAAAGTCGGTTCGATTTTTTCCAGAAATGCAATATACTGTCTGAAGACAAAGATAAAAAATAAAAAAAAAAAAACGTTATGATATACCTCAATATCTTGCAATTCATCGAGCGCTGATTTTAGCGGCTGTGTAAGCACACCATGCTTTGAAAGGAGAGATTTTGCGGCATTTTTATCGCCTTTTCCTTGTATAGTGAGAATCTCCCGACTCAAGCTCTCGACTGCTTCCTCGACCTTTTCATGATCGTAAATAATTTTTGAAAATATTCGATTAGGAATTATTATTAGTTGTTCGAAATATATGATTGAAATAATTTGAAATTATTGAATAAAATGCTTTGAAAAAAATAGTATGTACCTTCTCAAAGTCGACAGAAAATGTTCCGTCAGGATGCATAAGAAATGCGCCCTTTTCGAATAAATAATTGAACTGCAAAGCTTGCCCTTTCCTGGACATATATTTCACAAAGTAAAAACATAAAACAGACCCAAATTTGGTTAAAATAAACCCACTGCTTTTTCCATTTTTGTGGATTATTGCAAATATTACCCTTATGCTTAAGCATAATTGCAGTAAAATCTGATAAATAAACAAATAGAAAAAAAAAAAAGGCTTACCCGTGAGCTTCCTCCAGGCCGAAACGTACAGAGCGGAAGCAACCGGCAAGGAACGAGACGTACATGGATTTGATCAACGTATTCGGCAGTAAATTCTGTCCAGATACAAAATGTCAATACGCCTTTAAAAGGAACCCAGAAAAAAAAGTCCGAATAGCTAAATTGCATTTTTAGCTCTAGTGGTTTTTTAATTCCAAGATTTAACATTTCGCCTTTCGCCTTTTGGTCTTGTGATTTAGTACTTTGCCGCAATTTCAGTCATTTGAGGACTGAATTGCAACAAATTCCCAAATTTATAGAATTAATATTAGCAATTTAGGTCCTATAATTTAAAATTATGATGCAATTCAATACTGTAATTTAAAATTTTGTTGCAATTTCAGTCATTTGAGAACTGAAATTTGAAAATATTAAATCACATGACCAAAGGGTGAAAAGATGGAAGTTTAGGACTAAAATTGCTATGGTGTCAAACCAACAAGACTAAAAATGCATTTTTGCCTAATCCAAATTGGCCTAAACTAAACTGTCGAGGGAGTCAAATTTGTCGAGCGCACGCAAAATAAAATGGAAATAAAATATAAATTATGCAGTATTACGCAAAATAAAATGGAAAGAAAATATAAATTATGCAGTATTACACGACAGTCGTGACAATTTCTTTTTTGAAAAAAATAGAAATATAAATTTGCTCCTTATGGGAGATATAGAAGAGTGTTTGGTACAAAAATTCACACCCAAAAAAAAAAAAATAATGTTTTCTACCTAAACAAAACCGAAAACCGAAATTCCCAACGAGATTACCAAAAAAGTAACCCCTTTTAGTAGGTAAAACAAGAGTTACCTCGTTAATAAGAAACCGAAGGGCCCAAAGTCCAACAATGTCAGCTTTAGCTTCTTCCATAGCCGAGTGAAGTTCTTGCAATTCCTGTGTCATGCATGAAAATCATTTGATTATAAACACTTAATAATGAGATACATCGAATATTTAACCAAATAATAATAATAAAAATAAAAAATAAATGAGATAAAGAATTTGTGGCTATTCCGTTATAAAAGCACGGTCGAAAAAGTGGTCTAACAAGAACAAAAAGCATACCAATCTCACGGTTGATTGTTTCCCATCGGGAAGCGTTATTGTATGAGGTCCAATGCCGTGAACACACTCGTGACAAATTGTGTGAGTGAAAAATGAGTCGAAGTCCACGTAACTACGTTGCTCCTCAGCTATGCATGCATGGGCTATAGGTTGAAGAATAAGCTCGAATCTGTTCAATAATAGATTTGAATATCGACATTTTCTTTTTCGAATTATGATTTAAAAAAAAAATAGAACAGAGAAATTTTTTACTTTGCTTCCGAAACATTCTTGAGCATGACCATAGAGGTCCCTCTGTCTTTTACAATCCTCTCATCATTGGGAAGATTAAAAGCAACAGTTTGTGGGCCCTTCACATCCTGCGGAAAAACACGCACCAACAATAAAAAAACATTATCGTATTTTCAGAACTATCATATATAAGCTGGAACAAAAATTAAGAGAATAAAATTCATCATTTTTAGTATGACACTTTGTGTTTTTGATTGTGCTTATTTATTTAGTCATCTGTCAAATAAATACTTTTGGGCAAAATTGCATATAAAGGCACGACCTTTAAGGCTTTTGCAATTTAAGCACCACCTTTTGCTATTTGCGTTTAAATCACCATCTTTCGAAGCATAAATTTAAGTTCCGTTAGATTGGAGCTGACTTGGCATAGACGGAACATCTACATGGCTGAACGAAAGTTTAAATTTATGATTATGAAAGGTGGTGATTTAAACGCAAATAGCAAAAGGTGGTGATTAAATTGCAAAAACCTATATGCAATTTTGCCATATGTTTGCTCTAATTAGCATGAGAAATTAAGAAAAAATAAAATAAAAAAATAAAACAACTGACTCCTGAATTGTAAATTAAACGGATGACTCGAATTGGGGCCGCAGTCACGTCTTCCGACTTGTAAGCACTGTCCACGGGGAGATTCTTCTCCAAAACCTAGCATTTATTATATCTTCTGATCAGAATGAACAAAATTACAAAATATATTTACTTAAATGAAATGCAACTAACACAATATGGCAACCTGCAAATTGTCGCCAAATAGTTTGATTTGAGATGTTGCCTCGTCATCCTTCACTCCAATGAACGCCTCGAAAGTGGCCTACAGTAAAAATTATCTAACAAAATTTACATAACACATTAACAAAGGAATTAAAAGCTTGAAACACTTTTTAATGACATCTTTGATCTCACTTTTCCCGTAGAAAAGATTTTTTACCATGGCAAAAACCAAAAGATGACATCACAAAAACTAAGTCGAATGATGGCAAAAATAATAATACCTTGTATCCAAAAATTGTATCTTCATACGTCTCATATGGGCCGATAGTGACATCCAGCTTCGAATCCTTGAAGGTAAAAAATAAACACGATAAAAAATTATAAATATTTGCTTTTTCGTACTTCCATTACATAGCAAATTAACCACATTGTTTATAGTAATCAAAAATTAAAAAGGATCACAAAATGTTTGTCTAAAAAACACACGAACTAACCAATTCCATCCACGCAATATCCGAATCATAGTATTCATTCGATAGGAAAGCATCAGCCTTGCTATGCAAAAGCTTCTTTAAACTGCACCAAAAGATTCACTGTTTTAGTTTCTTTTTTTTTTTAATAAAAATAAAGAAAAAAAACTTGAATTTCATGAACGAGCAACAATTTTACCTGGAAGAGCTAGCCGAGTCCCCAGCCTTATGCAGCAAATCAGAAGCTTTCTTAAGGAAAGCATTGTATTCTTCCGAGTAAGGAACAATATACAAATCGTGAGCATCAGTAGTGCTATTGTTAGAGGCCTTGTTTGGCAAAAGTGACTCATCCAATATTCTCTCGCTTTCCCTTTTGATAACACTGAAAAATCCTGTTGCTTCTTTTTGTTTTTCTTCGGGGAGACTATTTTTCCATAGATCGAATTCCTATATAAGAAAACCGTAAATATGCTCACAATGAAAAGATCCGAAAAATGAAACTTTTTTTTTTATTTATTTTCAATTCATTTAGCATAAATGTCAATAGTCATATATTTTATATACCGTTTTCTCCATATCCGGCGGATAGAAATTTGCACCGGGCGGTATCGTAACAGAAAACCGTAAATATGCTCACAATGAAAAGATCCGAAAAATGAAACTTTTTTTTTTTATTTATTTTCAATTCATTTAGCATAAATGTCAATAGTCATATATTTTATATACCGTTTTCTCCATATCCGGTG